ATTCTTGTTGAGTACTTGTGATTCTAACCGCCCCAGTGCATCCATAGGAATTAAGTTTCCTTGGAAGCGCGGGAAAGTCAGAGCATAAGTAGATATATACCCAACCGAGTTGAACTAAACCCAGTACATCTATAGGAATTCAGTTTTCTTAAGAAGTTTTCTTAATTTCAACTTCGGTTTGTCAATTCCAACCTGTGTTCCAACAATCTCAGTGCATTCTTGGGAATTAAGTTTCCTAGAAAGCGCGGGATAGTAGGAGCTAACGTTTTGCAAACAAGGCCTTTACCCCTAGTGCATCGTAGGAATTAAGTTTCGTACGAAGCGCAGGAGATAAGGGTCTCTTTTCTATTCTTTTTCTATTCCTACACATTCCACTTCCCCAATACATTCCACAATGGCGCCATCAAAACCGAAAAACTGCTGCAAAACATGCGCAAATCCCATAACGGCACGGGATGCCGTGTTTCTATGTGTCTCATGCGGAGACTCAATGCACTTGACCCCTAAGTGCACCGAAATGAGTGAACGAGCAATCTTCGGGATAAGTGAGGTCAGCCAAAACCTCCTACTTATCTGCAACGCGTGTGTCCGCCTAAACCATAGGGACCGCATGCTGGACAAACTTGCATCCACCAGAAAAAACAACGACATAAAGCCAATAGTGGAGAGCGTTGAAGAAGTCAAAAATCAGCTCCAATCCCTGACAAGTAACATCGGTAACGTCGAAGGTATAAAGGACCAGATAACTTCCCTGAGAACCGAGATGGCTCCACGACCTGACAGTGAACTCACCACCAGCAGAACAACAAAAACATCAGAACCAAAAACCCAGAAGAAAAAAGAAAACTACGACGGATTACGGGTGCGAGGCATTGCAGAATCGAAGGCCAAATCGCCAAGAGAACGGTACGAACACGACGTGAAGGAAGTTAAAAGTATTCTGGAATTCCTAAAAATCGACTGTCCGATCGATGATGTAAGGCGATTGGGAAACTACGATGGCAAAAAAGACAGAATACTCATAATCAAAACAACCAGCGAACACCATCGACGGCTGATACTGCTGTCGCTATACAAATTAAAAACTTACTCTAAACAGGTATATTTGAGCAAGGAACTATCCCCTGAAGACCGAAAAATTGAAAACGATGCTTTGAAACTACGCCGAAAGATGATCGAAAACGAATACGACAAAAAACGTCTACGAATCAGAAACCTCAAGCTTCAACAAAACACAAACGAAACTGACGACAAGAATCTAGACAACTGGGAAAATGTTCCGCCAGAACCAGAACAATGACTACATACTAAAAGTTCGCTCAGTATTCTAAATTTCAATGTCAGGAGCCTGCTAGACATTAGTAGACGCATGACATTGGCAAATGCAGTTCTTACAAACGACTACGACATCATCTGTCTAACTGAAACATGGCTCACAACTGCAGTACCAGACGAGGCCCTCTTTCTATCAAACTACACAATACACAGAACAGATCGACCCAATACGGGTCAGAACACTAAGCACGGCGGAGTCCTCATTGCAGTGAAAGGTTTAACTCATAGCAGAATAGAACTCAAAACCGAACTAGAATGTGCTGCCATCGAAATCAAATCTCGTCAGAAGCAGATAGTAATCTGCTGCTTCTACAATCCCCCCAAAAACAGCCCGTATAGAGCATCTCCCGACAACATAAAAGACGTCTTAAAACAGCTTCATGACTCGCTTAGTGACAACTCATCGCAACTCATCCTAACCGGAGATATAAATCTTGCAGACGCAAACTGGGACAGCCTAAACTCAAACGACGAATACGAAGCCAACATATTGGACACTCTAGAAAAGTACGATCTACATCAGCTAATCACGTGCCACGAAGGCAGGAGCCTCGATGTATTCCTTGCCACTGACCCGACTCTTGTGCTAAGTTCGGCTATCGACTCAGCACTAGAAGCACAATACTCATCAAACGGAAAAAAGTGTTCCGATCATCACGCATACAAAACTTATTGGTCCCTACCAACTTCGAGCAAAATAACAACCCCAGCTATTAAACGCGCATACCAGAAAACCGACTGGGATGATTTCAACAAACAAATCGTCAGCCAGCCATTTACACCATACTGCTACAGCAACATTGACGTCCTACTGTTACAGTGGTAGAAATGGCTCGAGAACATCATCGACGAAAAAATACCCCGAGTCACCAAACACAGGGCAGAAATTCCACCCTGGATTAGATCATCCACCTCACATCAAATGAAGATAGTCGCGACAATGAAGCAAAAATACGCAAAAGCAAACTCACTCTCGCTACTCCTGAAAATCAAAAAAGCTGAAAAAATCCTGAACGAAGAAATCAAAATGGATCAAGCCATATTCGGAGCTAAAGTATTCAAGAGCCGCCGCATGTCTGATCTTCAGAAATTTTTGAAATCGATACACAAAAAGCATCCCCTACCAGACGAAATGTTCCTTAATCAATCACCGGACACAACTGAAACAGCGTTAAACAATGAACAAAAACGTTCTCTGTTTAACAAATTTTTCACCCAAGTTTTCAGCAAACAAGGTGAACTAACCGGCAAACAAACTTACATAAAATCAGAAACAAACCACCTGAAACTATCCGAGGAAGAAATAACCAGATGCCTCCAATCACTGAAAACAAAAAAAGCATGCGGTCCGGACAACATTGGAAACATTATCCTGAAACACGCGACATCACTCGCAAAATCTCTAAAGCTCATTTTTCAAACCTGCATTAATAAAGGATCATTTCCACGCCGATGGAAAACCAGTGAAATACCACCAGTCTTTAAAGAAAACAACAAGGCAGACATATCGGAATACATAACGAAATTTATCTGGAAAACGACATCAAAGAAAACGCTGAACTATGGGTCCTATACGTAGACTTCAGTAAAGCCTTTGACAAGGTCCCACATCAACCACTGATATCTAAAATTGCAGAAGTGGGAATTGGCGGGAAAATCCATGAACTACTAGCCAGCTACCTAACAGCACGAAAACAATGTGTTAAAATTGATAGAAGCAAATCTCCAGTCACGCCAGTAACAAGTGGAGTACCACAGGGTCCAATACTAGGTCCGCTCATGTTCCTGATATACGTTAACGATCTTCCAGAATCAGTCAAACCGAGCACTTCTTTTGGCTACGCCAACGACTTTAAAGTAATTGCAAAGAACTACGAAGAAGCAATTGTCCTCGGAACGGAAATTGAAAAGTGGAGTCTCAAAAACCAAATGGTACTAAATATGGCAAAAAGTAAGGCACTACGAATTAAAGGAAATACAGAGCCTGTGAGTTCAAAAGGCGTGAAACTAGGCACTGTCAACTCCCAGAAAGACCTAGGAGTGATAATGACAAAAAACATCTCGTGGAACGAAAACATTAAACGTAGGACCGGTAAAGCATGGCGAGCCTTCTTCAACCTCAAACGTAACATCTCATGCTATGCAAATCTCGAAACAAAATTGAACGCCTATGTAGGTTACGTCGTCCCTATCATTTCCTATGCATCGCAGGTATGGTACCCATCAAAAACCGTAATGCGGGAAATCGAAAGAGTTCAACAAAAAGCTACTACATGGATACTTAACTACTCCATCGGATACAAAGAGAGACTACGTACCCTGAAGATCTTACCACTCTCATTGTACATCGAACTCCATGATATACTGTTTCTTCAATCGGTCATGGACGGTAAATACAGCGTCAGTAATGATTCAATTCCAATATCACTGAGAGAAAGCACCACGAGACAATGCAGCGAATTCGAGCTCAACAAAAACCGCATCAGCAAAACAGACGAAAATTTCTGGACGAGAGCCCCGAAACTTTTCAATATACTCCACAAACAGTTTCGCGACAACCCGACGAAAAAACAACTGACAGAAAGTTACTTCAACTACTTTGAAAACAGTTACAATCAGCTAGACACATGCACCTGGCGTGTACTGTGTTCCTGTGGATCGTGTAACCCCTACCAAAAACTCATGCCAGCTGAAAACTGAAGGGTTGACACCCCTGGGCCAATGAGCCCTAAAGCCTCTACTACTACTACTACTACTACTACTCTACCAAGTAAAGTGTTTGGGTCACTTTTTACAGCACAAGATGCCTAAAGCGTTATCAATCCGTTCTGATGCAGGAACGTTTGCGTTTGTGTAAAAGAGTGTTAACGTCAAAAGAATTGTTTTGTTAATTTTCGTCAAGTATTTCTTTTCAGTTTTTCTCTAGTGTCTAACGTAAGTGTTTCAAAATTTTAGCCAGGAAATTTCTCAAAAAGATAATTAAAAGTTTATTTAGTTGGTGATAACGTGTGCCTGCTATTGATAAAATCGGAGGGAGTGGTGCTTTGTCCTGATGTATCATAGCCAAACCGTTCAACATATTGGCGCTGAGCTCCGGTTGATCCGAGTTTTGAATAAATTGTATCACTTTTGTCTTTGCCAAACATTAATTGCCTTTGTGTAAATCTGCTGTTCAGTCATCCAGTGCTCTCAATTATTGAAGCGTTGTTGATCGGCGAGGCCAAATGTCATAAAGTTCATCTGAAAAAGTTTTATTCAGGCTGAAGTAGCAGAAATTATGTGTCTGCCCAATTCCCCTGTCTCTTTTTACGGTACTCTGAATAAATCTATTGAGGATTTAACATTCTTCAGTAAAAGATTGCACATTAGTATCATTCGGTAAAGTTTCATATTGTGTGCGAGTTGTAATTAGTGAACCCCATAATCAAGCTAACCGTTAAATTGACCCTGAAATCAAGTAATGCTCGACCAAAAGTTGTACGCTTGATGTATGACTCCAATTTTAGCGTATACCACAATTGACCAATTGAATCAATCTTGCCGTTTTTCAAAAAATCTTGCAAAACTCTGCCCGAAATTATCTTAAACTTTTTCTCTGGTGATCTTTGATTTATAAAATTTTGCAAATTTTCGAGCTATGTAAAACTCTTTCTGAGTAACGTTATTCTGTTCCTGTGTGTTTCATATAGTGTTGTTTGATCAATACACCGCATAATTTCTCATAATCATGGAATCGCCATCTCAAGTCCAAAAATCTGCATCTTTGCTGGAAACCGAATACTGCCAGTCTCCAAGTGGACAAGCTGTCGCGTACGTCTTGAAAGAATCGCAAAATTTGGGAAATACAGGCGCTGTTGCGAGTCCGAAGATAGCTTCTCCTTATGCTTCGAAAAAGGTATCATTTGGGCGCAATTTTTTTCTTATTTTTCGGTATCTTCTAAAATGTAACTCATGAATTTATATTGCCTATTTAGAGCGTCACCCTAACCGAAATCAGTCAGAAGATTGAAGATTGCGCCGCACGACGTGACATGCTTATGGAGGATATCAAGGCTAAAAACCGAGATCACGTTGATCGGGTGAAGCAAGTTCGAAGAAGCTTGGTAGAGAAGGAGGAAGCTGAGCAAGAACTGAAGAAAAAGCAGGTAGGTGATACATGCTGTTTAAGAAAATCGCTTGAGCTTTGAGCGGCAAATAGATTTTTTTCGTCTCTAACTGGTATTAAAAGTTCAGCAATGTTAGGTCGAAAGTTGTTTTTGTTGGTATGGTAAATTTCAAGACATGCTCATTCTTGAAAACTCAAATCAAACTACCATTATTTAGATAGTAAATAGGTCTCGTCCGTTTCCGGTAGTAATTATAGTTTCTAATAAATTTCTCAAAAAATTATTGTTTTTTTTTCGGATTCTTGGTTTTGGGCCTAGTTTCCGTCGTTTCATTTTCCGTTTTTTAATAATGGAATTTGTTTTATCTGGTACTGTTTTTTATTTGCCTACTTTGTAAACCATGGATGTAATTTTGATTTCAAAATTTTCAACTAGAATTGAAAGTTGTGTAATTTGTCATTTTTACCAAGTCTGACTTTGAATAATTTGATTTTTTATCAATACTTTTTTTCGATGAAAAGGTTTAGGCTTTAGTTTCATCGGCTCGGTCAACATATATTGCGTAGTCTTAAGGGCAAATTGTTCATACTCGACAAAATCTGGTTTTATGAAAATGTTTGGGAGTTCATGTTTTGAGACGGTTAATACCAATTTAAGATTGTTGAAGTAGTTGCCGAGAACAATTAAAATTTTAGCGAAAAGTGAAAAAAAAAATTCAAAGCGTCTCAATAAAAAAATGAAATCCCAAACATTTTCATAAAACCTGATTTTTTCACTTTTCGCTGAAATTTTAGTTGTTCTCGGCAACTACTTCAACAATTTTAAATTGGTTTTAACCAAAAGTCCGGACAATAAATTCTGTGTCTGATTATTTCCCAGTCTTTTTTTGCCTTACTCCACCTTCGAAAATTCGAGGGGAATGTTTGACTCGTTTTCTTAGATTTTTCTTTTTTTCTCAGGGACTTCCAAGCCAAATCTGATATTGAGGTTGCAATGGCAAGAACAGGTCGCGGGGATCTCTCATTTCATATCCGGGGTTAAGGTTTCAGTTTTAAAAACTGGTTGTGGGTATCTTCGTTGCACAAACTGTTATTCCTTGTACCCTTTTTTCATTAAATTACGTAATGGCGCCAAAAAAGCTAATTTACCGTTTTTTTTTCAAAAACTTTTGACTTTGCTCGAAAACTAACCGCCTAAATTTGAGAAAGACATGTAGCAATCGAAAAAAGATTGTCTTAATCCACGCGGAGTAAGCGGCTACCACAGATTTTTTGCAGAAAAATAGTTTTTCTTCGCGGAAAAGTCAAATTTATATGATTTTTTGGAAACTTTGTTACTAGCATAGAAAACTACCCTGGCCAATCAGACATCAAGATTGCAATCAAAAGAAGCGGTATGAGGAATACTCCCTGATTTGCCCTATTTAAAGAAAATCGCCTTGGAAAATTCATAGGTTCAAAGTCATATGGAGGACTCGCTGTATGAGAATCCTCTCTGGGTAAATTGCTACACCATAGTTTTAGTCGAAAAACAATTTGGATTTTCGGAAAAGTCAAAGTTTTAAACTTCTGGCCGTTTTGGAAACTTTTTGACTGTTCTCAAAAACTACCCTGCCAAGTTCAAGATTAATTGTTGAAATATTTCAGGTTTCTTTGTTGCATCAGCTGGCTTGCCCTTTTTTACGTAGGAAAAAAGCTCTAGCTTTCGGAAATCTCAAATTTGTGTATTTCGAACTGGTGTTTTTGGAAACTCATTTACTTTTCTCAAAAGCTCTCCTGCCAAATCTGAGATTGAGGGTTCAATTGTGGAAACATCTTATGAGAATTTTGGTGCAGAAATTCCGGCTCTCAAATTTTTGTATATTGGTTGTTATGTCCTTAAGACAAGTCCATTTAGAGTTTTTGTTAGTTTCACTTTCCTCGATTAGAATTCAATCGTAAAAACTGATTATGGGAATCTCTTTCAATGGCTCCTCGAGTATATGTTCAATCGACACGATTTTGTTGGAAACCTCCCTATTGAAAAGCTACGCCTCATTTTTCTCAGTAAAACTATTGACTCAGGAAAACGTCAGTTTTTTTTGAGATTTTGATCGTTTTGGAAAAGTTTCGTCTTTTCTGAAACCCTGCGCAGTCAGCTCTTAGGTTATTGGTTCAATTGAAAACACATGGTGTAGAAATTTTCCCTGCATAAACGGTTAAACGTTTTTAGTAGAACTACAGGTATGCTTTAGAAAAAATCCTTTTTTCGAAAAATTACCCCTGCCAAATCTGATATTGAGTTTATAAAAGAACCCAAAGAAGGCTCTCCTCTTTTTAAGTGACTGATACTTCCTTCAGTAGAAACCACTAAGGGTATGGGTTAAAACTAATTTTTTAATGTTGAAAAATATTTTTCAAGACTTCATCTCTGTTTCTATTCACTGAAATGTAACGCAAGGTTTTTATTGTATCGCAAGTGTTGCGAAGCTCCCCTTTGCCTCTGTGTTCATTTTTTTAAATCTTTTTTTTTGGCTTTATAGGTTTCGGCTTCCGTTGTTTCGACTAAGTGGACTCTTATTGCGTCGAAAACTGTCCGCGTGTTTGACCAATTCGGTCGAAAATTTCGAACAACCCAACCAAGGGTGTACGCTTTTAACTGAACAGATCGCGTTAAGTTCCTCCTCAATCTACGGAGATTTTAACCCGAACTATGGTTGCTGTCTGGGTATTTCGTTGAGAAAATGTTAGTTGACTATATCAGTTTGTTCTTGTAGATCGAAGAAAAGCTGTTGACTGCGCAGGAGAATAAGCTGAAAGATCTTGAGAAAATCCGAGACAAATGCTACCAAGAGGAAAGAAAACTTCAATTGGCCCAACTGCGCAGGGAGGGCAGCAACATCATGAGCAGCCAAGGCGACTCTCAGGAGGATATTGAAAATTAAGCATGGGGGTCAGCTTAAATTGATTTTAAACTAAACAAGAACACATTGATAATGTCTTGAACGAAGTTACACATTTAAATAAACTTGAGAACACTTTCATGAAATAGTCTTCTATTTTCATATTTTTTACGAAGCAGCTGCCGGGGACGATTTTTTTTTCAATTTTGCTTTAAAAGAATAGAAGACTACCAACTTTAGTAAATGAAGGGTATTTTGCAGTTTTAAAACATTATCTAGTAAAACAATGTTGTTTTGATCGATAAGGCGTGTTTTCTAACTGTTTGACTCAAGACGTTGGTTTTAACATGGATACATATTCATTTTTAAATCAATGAAATTCGTCAAATTTTAATGGACCTATTATTTATTGTAACCAATTGGCTGATTATATTGTGATTTTGAAAATTATTGTTGATTGACAAAGTTTCGTGAAGTAATAATCTGAGTTGACAAAATGCTGTTTTTGAAAGTAGGTCTCATTCTTGGATTATTTATGATGATATTTGAGATGGAAAACTTCCTCCGTTATTTTATGCAGTGCTTTGTATTTGCGGAAAGATCATCCGTCAACGCTTCTTGTGTGTGCAATAAGTTTGTCAATTTGATCTTTGTGGCTACTAGTTTTAATTCAATTGTGCCAACTTTGCGTTTTTTTCCAGTTGTAGCTGTCGGCAATATTAGTAAAGTCGAAGAAATCTGGACTCATTGGGATCCATGTTGTCTATTTTGGGATCACAGTAAAGTCACACGGAATTTTCTTGCATAGTTCTTGGATTATTCTCATAATCGTTACGTGAGAACATAACTGATGTTTGACGCTCTAGAGTCATTGGGTACTCTTGACTTCCAAACTACTGACTTCAACTTAACAGCAAATCAGTTTGACTGAGGTGACCGAAAAAAAAACAATGAAAAAGTAACAAAAACAAAGATCTTAACTTAACGCTACTGAGACCAGTTCGACCGACTTTAAAGTTCTAGAATGCAAAACTAAGCTGATAAAAAGAAGAATGGCAGAATCGGATAGACGAAAACAGGGCAGAGGTGTATTATGCTCACTGTTCAATTCGCTTGGACTCGCGGTAACATGTGTGTTGTCGAAGTTTTCGGCTGTGTTCAACCCCTTCGTGCTGCTGATGTGGTCTACTGGAAGTAGCTTTCTCTACCTGTGCTCGATGATAAGGAAGGGTCGCTAAGCATTTTGGAAGTCACTGAGAAAACTACTGCTTTTTCGGGCTGTGAACAAAGCTTTGTTTTTAGGTGATAAAACTATGTCATATGTCTCATGCATCAATTTAAACAAAACTGAGTTTTGAGTGCGTAAAACTCAGCACTTAAAAACGATACAACATTTTTCGAGAGCAGAAATTTTTTCCAGATGTTATTACTCGCAAGTAGCAAGGGTATTACAAGCGGAACTGAACTTTTTCCCCCGTAATTAACTTTGTTTACATAATGAACGATTTTATAGGAATGGTAAATTTCAAGACATGCTCAATTTCTTGAAAATTTAAATGAAACCACCTTTATTTCGGGTTATTTTTTCAAATAAACTTCTTGTAAAAAACAATTTTCGGCTTTTTGTTGTTTTTGACCAGACAGATCTTTTTATTAAAGATGCTATCGACAGAGCAGTTATCGACAGATCATTTTCCTTTTTTTTCTAAGTGAAACTTATTTATCGACTTGCTTTGTGAAGCATAGACTTTAATTTATCTGAATTTTTTTTACTAAAGTTGAAGGTTCTGTAATTTGTCATTTAACCTAGTCTGATTTTATTTAATTAAATTGCACTTGCGTTTAGCAAGCGTTATCAAAGTGGAATCTAGACTTTTATCGCGTTAACATTTTGTGTAACAGAATCACTTGTATCGTGGTTCATATTGGATTCAAATTTCTATGCGCTCCCGGCCAACCTAGCCTTGAGGTAACTGATAAGCCTGGGGAGGCAAAGGTCCTGTGCTCAAATCTGCTCAGGACCCGTTTTTTCCACAAGGGAAATGTTCTGTTTCAAATAAAATTGTCGGCCAATTATTTGTCTGCTAATTTGTTGTGGGCTTAATTGTCATCTTGAAATCGTTTTTTTTTGCTGTGCGCATTTTCTTTAGTGTTGCTTTTTGTGTTTGATTTACTCGTACAATTGTTAATTTTACAATTTTACTTACACTGACTTCGTATTTCCTTTCTTGTTTTGCTCAAAAAAATCCTCGGCCCAAATTATTTTGGCATATTAATTTTGGCTGAATTACAAACTACTTTTGGGTCGTTTCGAGGGAAAAACGACCTAACCGAAAACTATCGTGACAGGTTGTGGTCAACCGAGAAACCCGGTTTTGGGAATCTCTGCTTAAGCGGCCACAATCTGCTGCGTGCAGCAAAAGTTACGGGTTTTGGAAATTTTTTGACCGTTTTTTAGAAAATTTTCGAATTTTCTTAACATTTACACAAACAAATCTGAAGAAAGTTCAATTGAAAGAACCGATTGCGATAACGGCTCCTGCAGAACCCGGTGACTCATAATTTTTTGCACGAGAAATGATATCTCCATGAGAGAATTGATTGTTTCAAAATTTTGTTGTTTTAGTAGAGAAACAATTAAGTTTTTGAACAAAGTTCAATTTAGGAAATCATTTTTTTTGTGCCGCATCGATATAGAAATTTCATTAAATAGTAAACACATACCTCTGGCTTTAACCGGGCCTTAGTTGTTTTTCATCTATACATACGAAAGTTTTGGTTCACGTAGTTTTCAACATTTCAAGTTTTTTTTTATTTAAGTTTTTTTTGTTTGTGCTTGAGGCTTCGCCTCTGTGTGTAACTTTTTTTCCATTAAACGGTGTCTGCTTACGTTTTGATTGCTCAATCAACAGATATTCTATGACTTTGAGGGCAAAAAAAACCTGTTCGAGGATTTCAGGTATTATGAAAAGGTATGGGATTTAATAACAAGCTCAAAAGCAAAGTTCTAAAAAACCAGTTAACTCTCGTACCAGGGCAAGCTTTGAGTGTTCTGACTGCTTTCTACTCTCTACGAAAAAGAGTGTTTGCTTCAAAAGCAATGAAAATACTCTCAAAAAAATAGAATTTTTTTCTGAGATTTTTTTTGAAACCATTCCCCAAAACATTATGTAAAGAACAAATGGATGAAGTTGGACCCAATTGCGTGTCTCAATTCAATTTCGAACGATTTCCAATACAGATTAAATCTTTGCCTACGCGTTGAAAGCACGTAAATTATCGTGCGTTAATCCGAATTAGCAATCTTTAAACCCCCTTTTTTTACAAAAATTAATCATTCAAAATATATCGTTCGAAAATTGAGCTCAAGGCAGTAATACTTATTGGATGGTAAAGAATTTTTTTATTCGAAAGTCGGAATGAAAAGCAATTTTTTTTGCAAAATTTTGGTCCACTTCGCTGCCTTGATATTTTGAATTGAACGAGATTTCTTAGCTAACTGTTTTGTTTTCTTTTGCTTAGTTAAATTTATTTACAAAAAAAGCGTCAAATATAAAATATTCTTGAACCTGAAAGAGCAATAGTTTGATGTAGTTTTTTCTTTGAAACTCGAAACTTAAATATACTTTTTAAAAAAGTTCAATTACATTTTGGAAAGGGACCAAAAATGGGTGTTTGGCCGAATTTAATTAAATTTTTGAAAAATTTCAAAATTCTGTCCATTGAGATGACCTGCGGCAACTTACCCGGGTTAAAACGTGGGATGAGAGACTAGCGATGGCCATTTGCGTTCTATTTCTACCTGCTTGTTCTATCTGTGGCTATATGAGCATAGTCTACATGGAGTTTGCAGATAGTTTTGCCATCACACAATCCAACGTTGTCATTTGCTCATTGCTCGCCTGGATTATTTTGAAGGGTCAGTTGATTTTATGATTTAGTTTCAATATAAAAAAAAATCCATTCTCGAGCAGCAAAAATGAAAAGGTCACGAAAAACGCCCGAAAGCTTTCAAAAGTGGAATTAAATTTTCAGTTTTCCCCGCAAAACGCAAATTTCACTTATTGGGCCGGTATTATCAAAAACAAGCATCAATCATAGTTTTTTTCTGGAAATTCAAAGTGCCTTAGTGCTATCAACATTTTCTTTGAAATTCGAAAGTTGAAATTTAAAAAAAAAAACAGTCTAGTATTTTTTTTCTGTTTACTTGCGCTCCTTGACTTTTTTCCAACTATCTGTTTGTTATAATTAGAGTTTTCAGGGATTTTGGAATCTTAAAAACACTGAATATTTTTCAATTAAAATTTAAAGCCAAATTAGCCGGCTGCACTAACTTTTTTAATTAAAATTTTTTATCTCTACAAAAAAAGCGAAAAGGTTCTGCTTCTGTTTTGAACAAAAATGTTTAGATTATTAATTTGCAACCTGTTAAATAAGGTTGTGCTTATCTTTTGACCATATTTTTTCATCTTTTATTTTCTGCAAAATTTTTTTATTGCACCGGACATCAAGAGCAAAAGTTTTTGCAATTACACTTACACAGGTAGGAGACGGAAAAAGAGCTGAAGTCTTAAGATTCAATTTGGAAAGTATATATCTTAGAACCGCTCTTCTGGATCGACTGGCTTTGTCTCCTGCTGAGTACATCCGGAGTCCTCCTGATAGCCAGACCCCACTTCCTCTTCAGATTCTCAAAGAGTTTCGAGGAACCCAGTGACGTCATCAACATGACGTCATCAAGTGAAGTCATCAACATTTACGAGGACAGGTGGAAGGGAGTGTTGTATAGCCTGGGTTCTGCATTGACTAGTTCCTTTTTTGGAGTGGCCAGAAGAAAGATTAAAAATGTGAACAATATGGCATTACTCTTTACTCAGGTGTGTAGTAGATGTGACATAAGCCTTTCATTTTTGAGCTAAAAGTCACTCTTCCTTAAATTGATGAAGTAGTTCAATTTTATTCAGTAAAGTTCACTCAAATACTAAAGAAGAAAAGATGGCTTTTCGCACAAATTTCAAGCAAGATTGGGACAGGTTTTGGGAGGTATATCGACCTTTGAAATCTCAAGATTTTAAAAAGTATTAGAATACTATTTAACTCCAAGCTGTGTTTTGCATCATTATTTATAATTCAAACTTGCACTTTTATACACAATTTAGACAGGTCTCGCCTTCCCCATGCACCTGACCCTAGCGACCACTGTTCGAATCCCTGGAGTGGCGCCTGGCTTCGCCTGTGGCCCTGCCCTGGACAAGTTGTTCCTCTCCTCAGCTGGGATACTGCATGGACTGTGTGTGATGTGTAACTTCGTCCTGTTCAGATGTCTCCCTGTTGTATCTGCCATGACATTGAAGGCTAGTTATAACAAGAGCACATGGTTATTGGGAAAGTAGAACCAAATGCACATACCGCTTTCTGTTGGGAAGTTGGAGTTTCATTTTAAAATGTCCACGCGTCAAAAATGATTTGTCGGACTTCTTGTCTGTCTGCTTTTTTGAGCACCAATTTTGCCTAAAATGTGAGCATTTTTCAATTAAATTAATGAACGGTTCATTTTATGCTGTTTTGGACAAGTATTTGAGTTCCAAGATGTTTTCATTATAAATTCCATTAGTGTTCTGTGCTGCTGATTCAGTGGTAACACTCACGCTTGAGACGTCAAATCCCAGAAGCTCGATTCCAGTCGGG